GGTCTCTGGGGGGGGGGGGTTGCGATGCAGTTATTAGGGTGTAGTTTGTAGGGTGTGGCTAAGGTGTTATGGAGTTGTTTTGAGAGAGTTGCTATATGGTTGCCAAGGTGTTTTGAGTGGTTTCTATGGAGATGTTAGATGGTTGCTAAGGTGTTCTGAGTGGTTTCTAGGGGGTTGCTAAGGTGTTCCGAGTGGTTTCTAGGAAGTTGCTAAGTGGTTACTGTAATGTTCAGAGTGGTTTCTAAGGAGTTGCTGTTTGGTTTCTAGGGAGCTGCTATGTGGCTATCAATAATTAAAAGAGTTATCAGTAATATTAGGCCAAAAATAATTTTATTTTTCTCTATCATTCTTTACTTCTATCATTCACCATTTCTCTCTCTCTCTCTCTTTTGCTGTAGTCTGAGCTGAGGCGACACTAATCCTGAACACAGACACAGTGACGGCCTTGAGACTTACACAGCACAAACACACAATAGCAGGATTCTGTTAATGCCAGACGCAAGTTCAATAACTATTAAACGAATGTAATGCTGAAGTGTTACACACGGATGGTTAAAGGAGCTGTTATTCACACAGATTGAACACACAAAACAACATCAGAATATTTCAGATATACCATGGTATCACATTACTGTACCATAATGTACAGTAAATGTTTTAAATCTAGAATTAGGAATCTCATCTATTTAAACTAGGTATATTATGTTATTCATATTTAATTTACATTAAAAATATTAAATATTATTAATTATATTTTGAAAGTGAATCTCCTTTGTAGGACATAAGGTGTGTTGCATTGTGACATTTTTAATAATGTGATATTAATAAAGTGATTTTCTCCACTGATACTCATTAGTTTAATGAAATTAAAATAAACAATTAAATAATGAAACAAAAAAACTAAACATAAATATTAAAAAAATTATTAAAAAACAATTTATATATCATAGCAGGATTTCTGCCTTTTAAAAATGAAAAATATTAAATAAAAAAATTAATAAAATAAAAATGTATTATAATAAGAGAATCTGAGAATTGAGAAAAATGTAAAAATTACCAAAATGTCTGGTAAAAATGAGCAGACACCATATGTAATGAGAACGGTAGTGAACTGTCATAAAAAAAATAAAACAGATTTTTTAAAATAAGAAACAATTTATACATCACAGTAGGATTTGTTGTCTTCTATAAATGAAAAATATTAAATAAAAAATAAATAAAATAAAAATTCATTATAATAAAAAAATCTGAGAATTTTTTCCCCCAAAATTACTATAATGCCTTGTAAAAATGACCAGACGCAGTATGTAATGAGAATTCCTGGTGATCTGTCATGAAAATAATGCTAACTTATGGTCCTAAAAGGCTTTATTTTCTTATGTAAACTATAAAGTTATCTCTATTTTTCATGTGATTTTGGTGTGAAATGGGATCTGAACATGTTTTTGTGAGATACACACCATATTTGGTCCGTCTCAGAGAGGAGAAAGAAGAGAAGTGAATGATTACAGACGATCATAAGAGACATTCAGTAGCCCAGCCCAGGGAAACACAGAGACTCCAGGATCTCCCATCGGCTCAGGGAAACATCAACACGCCAGCTTCACACAGATCAGATCACCACCCTGATTTATCAAGCACAAGTGTTTCCCAGAGAGCATTGCTCTCTAAATACTATCATTTATCTCTTTTTTGGGGTGGTTTGGTGTGACGTAGCTCTCAAACTAGCAAATATGTATGAATATGTATCGTTTTATCCATTAAAAACACATTTGCACTGATGAAATGACCTGACAAGCACAACTTTATTTCCTGTGTTGACGGATTTCCTATGGAAACAGGAAGTTTGGGCAAATAGACATGGACTGAAAGCCAAAAAACTGCTTGACCTTCAACATTGCCCACAATAATACATTTTGATTTATTGTTTTTAATATATAGACAAAATGAGGTTATCCATCACATTCCTGTTTCTAGAGCAACTCAAATTTAGCAAAACGACCATAAGCTGTTTCTCAGACAACAGCGGTACATTTATAACCGCAAGCGAATGAAACGTCATTGAAAGTATCGTAAACAGTTAAGTCGAGCTAACATTAATGTGATCCAGAAGGCTTTCCGGCACGTGTAATTCCAGAGGGACGGATTGTGGCCGTCTAATCCTGCCTGAATCTTTCCATCCCACAGCAGCGGAAACAGGATCAGGCCCAGAATTCCTACTGTGGCTGACGGGACTGACACACAGGGCTTGTGTCTCCATTTAGCCGGCCTGATTTACCCGTCAGACAATGAAGACACACTGTCTGGATTCCACACACACATTGGGACTCATCTTGGCACTGACTCACAGCTGTTAACAAGCTCATTTTGTATCTTTTGGCCAGTCGGGTGTCAGTCGATGATACATGTAGTTCTAGACTCTAATCACACTTCTGACTAACTGTGTCTGCCACAGTGAAAGAGAATCAACAAAAAGACAGCTCTGTATGAGCACCTTCAAATTAGATCTGAATAATTTACTAGACCTCAGGTTAGTTTTCATTTAATTCAGCAGTGGTTGGAATAGTTTCAGTTTACTTCTTATTTCATGCTCTGGTTTTCTTGTTTTTCTAGTTTCAGTTTAGTTAGTAAATAGTTTTTATTTCATTTAAGTTTAATAAAACGTTATTATAATCATTATTAACATCAATTTTAGTTCTATACTATTTTAATATTTCAGACATTTGAAAAGCAGCACTGAAACAAAAATACAAAATAATACAATATCCAATACTAATATATATATATTATTATACTATACTATATGAATATATATATTCATATATATAATTTCTATTTTATTTTATTTAAATTAATTTAAGCGTAATTTCAAATTCAATTCACGTTTAATAAATATTTTTTAAATAGGTTTTAATTTTTATTTTATTTTTGTATTTTATATTTATTTTGTATTTATTTTTTAATATTCTTTGACATGCTGAGATGATTACCAACGTGAAGTTCAGACAGTAAAGTGTGAACGCTCTTTAAAATGAAAATCAAAGAATAGTAAATATTACAAAAACATTTTAAATTAAAGCTATTAATTTTTTTTTATTAAACTTAAATTCAAAACTAACTAAGTGAAACTAGAAAAAAGAAAAAACATAGCATGAAAACGAAACATAACTAAACTGGAATGACTAACTTAAAATTAAACAAAAACTACATTCAAAACTCAAAACTATATTTACTCTGGATAGCTCAAACACTTCATAAACAACTTTTACTTTTATTATTAAACAGACAATTTAGCTTTTTTTGCTTTTGGTTTCATTTCAGTTTTTGCATTTATGATGTTAAAAAATATTTTTGTTCGTCAGTAGTTTAGTTTATGCTTATTCATGAAACACAAGAACAAATTGTTAGTAAAACCATTCTTATTCGACAAATTACATGAAAAACAGAAATGCGTTCCATTCATGATTCTTGAATGAGACCCCCCCCCCCCAAAAAAAAGTACAAATTAATTAGTTCACAATCGAGTGTGTGTTTATAGGTTAGTATGTCACAGTGACACAGATGTGAATGTGTGTCTGGTGACGGACAGTCTGTGTGTGTGATGGACACTGGTCTGAATTCGGTCCACACAATGAAGAGTGTGTAACTCAATATTAAGTAAATGATCAAGCCAAGAGTTGAGTTCATACAATGAAACGTGTGTGTGTGTACTTCTGCTGACACGTCTGAGCGAGCCAGACGCCAGACAGACACAACTGTCAATAACACACAAAGCAAACACTCATATGCCTTGGGTTTTGTTTCTGACAGGCCGGTCAAACAAAAGCATGTTTAAAAAACAGAAAAACTTTATCAGAGTGTTAAAAGGCTAAAGCTGAACAAAATGGGCATGTGAATCAGGTGCATGTGGGGATTTTTCACATGCAAATTCAGGAGAAACTGGACTGAAGGGTTTATTTACAACCAAAACAAATATTATTATCTGAAAGAGTAATCAGACCCCGTTCAACCCCTACAGACCCGGACATTCATCTTACAACACGGGCATCATTAAAGCAAATGAGGCTGCTGAGCCATAACCAACAAACACCAGATCATCCAGAGCCAGTGTGTGAAGTTCAATGTTTACATACACCACTGAAGGAATAGTTTACCCAAAAATTAATCTTTTCAGTGAATCAGTTGATTTAGATCTGAATGATTTGTTCAAATCTGGTAAAAAGCTCAAGATGTATCAGATGTGGTGCATTAAACTCACTGGCGACTCCTGATGCGAGTCCGTACAGCAGGCCTCCTCCGTCTGACTGCGTCTGCAACACGTGTGTGGCGGCAGGACATTTCTCCTGTCTGATGAAGTTATACAGCAGCGTCTTCACCAGACGACTCGTCAGAGACAGACTACAGACAAAGAGAGAGAGAATGAGCAAACCTACTATATTCAACCAACTGTTGTGCTGTTGTTACTGTTAACTGAAATTTAAAAAAAAAATTACTTATTGTTATATGTTCATTATTTGAAAAAGTGCTGAAATAAAATTATATTTCAATTTCAATTTCAAGCTTTTATGAACCCTTACCTAAAAAATTAACTTAACCCTAACTTAAAAAATAGATTTAGGCTACGTTCACACTGTCAACTTTTGGGATTGACAACCGCATTTTCTTTACAAGTGTGAGTCTCGAAATGTCCCATTCACACAGCAGCTTACAGTTGTGTTTAGAATACTGTCTGTATGAACGTGCAACGGGAGTCAAACCCGTATTCCTTACCAGTAACCATAGCGACAGTGACCAAAGTAAAATCAAAGATGGCGACGTCCATAAAACTGAAAGTCGTATCACTTTCTGACACGACGAGAGTCCAATCGAGCCGCGAGTTATTTTGTCAAATCTTCATTAACCAACAGCAACTGTTAAATTTTGGTGGAGAGTGGAGCATTTGAATCGCGCGCAGAACACAAAACTGACGGGAGCGGTTCCGGTGGAAAACTGACGGGATCTGAAACGTTCAGATGACACGCAGCTCATTTCTCCATCACTGTAAGTTACCGAAAACACACATGAAAACACGTAACACACGGTAGACGCACGTTTGTGCGCAGAGCGGCTCTCTCGTCTCACACTGTATGTCTTGACAGACAACTAGTTGTCCAGTCCGGTTCCGTTCACACAGCGTGTGTGTTCCGAGAATGCGGTTGTGAGTCCTGAAAATTTACAGGTGTGAGTTCAGTTACAGAATGCGGTTGTCACGCCCGTAAATAACCGAACTGTGTGTGAACGTAAGCGCATTAAGGACTCAAATACAGGACTGACAACCATATTCTGCTGCTGTGTGAACATGGCCGATGGATTCACAAGTTTCGAAATCAATGTTCTAAAGCAGCGGTTCTCAATCCTGTTCCTCGCGTTGCCCTGCTCTGCAATGATCTATCATTAGTCCCGTCCCCCTGCACCGCAACCCAGTTCTGATGGGGCTTACAGTAACCCTTCTTCGCATCACAATCAAATAAATCTCCCTCCCTGATATTCATATTATTATACACAATCCCATACGAAAATTAGCAATGGTATTACTATAGTAAAAGTATATTAGGCTAACCATGTTTTTTTTTGGCGTTTTTATTACCAATTGTAGCCTATAACCACAGTTTTACTACAAATACCATGGTTAAACTATGGTTAGTGTAGTAAAACATGTTGTTTTTACCATGGTTTAACTATAGTAACCAATAACCATGTTTTTTGGTATTTTATATACATATTTTCATGTTATCTTTATTTTAAGGCATGTATTTGTGAAAATGATTAGGCAGCCGCAGCACACACCACATAGAATACAGCAGCGTCTTCACCAGACGACTCGTCAGAGACAGACTACAGACAAAGAGAGAGAGAATGAGCAAACCTACTATATTCAACCAACTGTTGTGCTGTTGTTACTGTTAACTGAAATTTAAAAAAAAAATTACTTATTGTTATATGTTCATTATTTGAAAAAGTGCTGAAATAAAATTATATTTCAATTTCAATTTCAAGCTTTTATGAACCCTTACCTAAAAAATTAACTTAACCCTAACTTAAAAAATAGATTTAGGCTACGTTCACACTGTCAACTTTTGGGATTGACAACCGCATTTTCTTTACAAGTGTGAGTCTCGAAATGTCCCATTCACACAGCAGCTTACAGTTGTGTTTAGAATACTGTCTGTATGAACGTGCAACGGGAGTCAAGCCCCATTGCCTTACCAGTAACCATAGCGACAGTGACCAAAGTAAAATCAAAGATGGCGACGTCCATAAAACTGAAAGTCGTATCACTTTCTGACACGACGAGAGTCCAATCGAGCCGCGAGTTATTTTGTCAAATCTTCATTAACCAACAGCAACTGTTAAATTTTGGTGGAGAGTGGAGCATTTGAATCGCGCGCAGAACACAAAACTGACGGGAGCGGTTCCGGTGGAAAACTGACGGGATCTGAAACGTTCAGATGACACGCAGCTCATTTCTCCATCACTGTAAGTTACCGAAAACACACATGAAAACACGTAACACACGGTAGACGCACGTTTGTGCGCAGAGCGGCTCTCTCGTCTCACACTGTATGTCTTGACAGACAACTAGTTGTCCAGTCCGGTTCCGTTCACACAGCGTGTGTGTTCCGAGAATGCGGTTGTGAGTCCTGAAGATTTACGGGTGTGAGTTCGGTTACAGAATGCGGTTGTCACACCCGTAAATAACCAAACTGTGTGTGTACGTAACCGTATTAAGGACTCAAACACAGGACTTGACAACAGTATTCTGCTGCTGTGTGAACGTGGCCTTAGAATATTAGAAATGTTGCCTTAGCAGTTTAACTGAAAAAAGTAGAAGTCAAAGTACTAAAATTTATAATTTTAATAATAAAAAATGAATAAAATTAATTAATAAAATATAAAGTGAAAAAAAATAAATGAAAGCTAAATAAAATTACTTAAAATAAATGAAAATAAAAACTAATAAAATTTTTAAAAAGTATGTAATAAAATTTAATAAAACTAAAGTAATAATAAAAACTGAAGATATAATTCAAGTTCAAAATATTAATAAGTTCTACAATAATAGCATATAAATAACACTAAAATATCTTTCTGATAGCCACTTTTGCATGCTATAATGCTATAAAGTTAATGCCAAGTAAGTTGCTGTCATTCTTTTTAGTGCAAACGCCTCTTTTCTACGTAAGTTTGGTTTACTATATGTATGCTTATTAGAGGTCGACCGATAGTGGATTTTGCCGATACCGATAGCTAGGTTGGACCACACTGGCCGATACCGATTATTTAATCGATAGTTTTTAAAATTGATACTGAACAAAAGCTAAAATAGTGCTTTATTAAAAAACAGTACTGAACCATACTAGTAGTAGTAGTAATAATAATAATAATATTAATAGTAAATGTTGAAATGAACACACTCTAACAAGGGCAACTTTATTATTATATTATTAGATTTGATACACATTTAGCGTTAACATCTCTGGGACCCCAAAAATAAAGAATGTCAAGACAAAACATGAAAATTAGGAACATGGCAATGTCTGCTAGATGTCTTTGCTTTTATGTACTTGAGTAGAGTCTGTCTCAGTCCTAAAGACACCGGTGAGGTTTGACGAGTGTTCGTTAACGACCTCAGACGTGCAAGCTCAGCTGCAGTGCTGAAGAGCTAACGAGGGAACTTTAAAAGCTCAGTATCACTGGTGCGATGCAAACGAGCCCTCCGGGTGAACTCAAGCAAAGCTCCAGACGAGAGCATCTGGTGAATTAATGAACACCCTCATTTGCATATGAAATGGCAGCGCTTGACAGTCGTCCTTCTGTTAACGCCGGTCAGGGGGCCACAATATCACACTGGGACAAACTTCATAAGAATAAAACACTGCGGTAGGCAACAACTTTTCACTTGTATTGGCTCTGGTTCACAAGTTAGGAAGTTTATGATGCATCGCTGGAACTCTGAAACAATTAGATTAATCTATTCAGGTGTGTCGAGTGTCTGTGCCTTACCATTAGTTTAATTACTACTCTTTTATATGATCGACTATACAGTCCATTACATGTACATGTAGAGGTTAAAGCTATAGGGATGTTTAAATCCAACATGTTTTTTTCCTTACCATCGTCCTCTGGTCAGGTAGTTGTAAATAAGCCCCTCCTTCAGAACCTCCTTATGGAAGAGCTGATAGGACAGCAGCACCAGAAGGGTGGTCACAGCTTCAAACAGGATGTTGTAGGTGATGTCACTATGGAAACGGACACATGACCAACATTAATACAAAAATGTATGTTAATGAGCCAATTGCTGCTGTGCTATACACTGATTTTACTATGGTCAAGAGGGTTTTGACTTTTATAAGACTATAAAAGACAAAGATGTACAATAAATAATATATAATAATATATTCATGTGAAACAATTCACAATTCAATCAAAACAAAACAAAACCAAAAACCAAACCAAAACCAAAAAATAAACCAAATCAAATAAAGGAAAAAACAACACAAACCAAAACAAACAAAACAAGACAAAAGATAAAAATATAAACAAACTAAAATAAAAAACAAAGCAAAAAAATTAAAATAAAACAAAACCCCAAAAAAGACAAAAATCAAAAGAAAAAATTAACTATTTTTTTTAAACAAAGCAAAAAAACAACCACAAAATAAAAAAAAAAAAATAAATAAAATAAAACTAAACAAAATTTTTAAAAAATATGCATTTTATAAGCATTCAAATGAAACATTTTATGACCATTAAAATGTTATACATTGTGGCATCATTTTCTAAGTGAAATGTAAAATGGTGAAATATGACCTAGACTAACAGATCATATTATTATTCACAATCACATTCACAATATAGCACACGCGCACACACACGCACACACACGCACACACACATCAATAGAACAATCTCTCTTTTTTCTATTATCCCTCATTTCCTTCCTTCAGATTTCTCACTTCACTTCCACTTCCCAGTTCTGTGATGTCACTTGGCATGATTCCCTTTTACTTTTTAGACACACACACACACACACGACTGCACATTCACACAAACACATGCAGTGTTTATTGCTGGATTCTGTTTGCAACACAGAACAACCAAACTCCACAAACTGGGCCTAACAACACATTAAATCATAACTAATACTATTTTTTCCAATTTTATTGTAATGCTTTGAATTGTTTTGATTATTAAGTTCAACTTATTACAAAACAAGTTGCAACTATGCAACTGAAAATAAAGGTGCACTACAAAAAATGCAACACAGTAAGGGCTTTCAGATGATTTTGAGTTGGACTTGACTCGGCCCAGATGGGCGTTTTCATGTTGAAAATATGGACTCTTCGAGAGAAAATCTGCAGAATTCTGAGTAATAGACTTAAACAAGGTCAAATGTGCTAAACTGAGATGACTTTACTACAAAAAATGTAATAAACACACTAGGGATAAGGGACATGAATAATGGGTCTTCCAGTTCTACAGAAATCTGTATGCGCAGATTCCATGTTGGCCTTTTTTAACTACAAATGCAAATTATTTCAACAGAACTTAGCAGATTCATAATTTCACATATGACATTTGCTAAATTATTATAACAGCCTCGGCTCTCACATATTTTGTAAAGTTTTGAATATTGTCAAATGACAGACATGCATCTCCAAAAAAAAGAGCACAGAAAAACATATCTCATAAACAATGTTTAGCAACATTGATTAAAAATAACATGATTAATGATTAAAATAACATGTCACCATATCAGAATTTATCAATACAAAACTGTTCCATCTATGATAAAAAGTGTTTTGTCAAAAGTGAATGTGTTTTTTTCCATTGGAAAGTGATGAAATGCAAAATTGTGAGCCTTAAATTTCAGCCGGTCCCTTCAGTTGAGGTCACATGGACTTCCTTTATGGTTCATTTACATCCTTCATTGCATGTATACTTTCATTGTATGCAGCTAAACATTATCTTCTGTGTTTAACAGTAGAAAGAGTGTCATACTGGCTTGGAACGACCCGTAAATGGTTTCTGGTTGATCAGAAACATCATCATGCACAGTATAAACGCTCTACTGTACTGTAACTCTGCAGCTATTTTATTTCTTGTTTTGATCTGTGTGGTAATTTGAGCTACATTTCACAATATCCTTCACAACAGCATGATAAGAATCCTGTCTCCAGCTACAGAATCACTCAAAACCACGTAGGAACCAGCGAGCCGGGGCTCTGAATGTGACTTCTCTCAGTCAGCACGTAGCAAGGAAACGAGACAAACGGCAACAAAAACAGACACGGGACAACAACAGCAGACTGAACTCTGTTACAACACAACTGCGATGCAATCCACTTACACATGTGAGTGAAGCAAAAAGAACACGCTTTATTTCAAACCCGCTTAAAACTTGCAATCATGTTTACGTGACGTTCCTCACTTTCTCCGTCAGTTCTCAAGGCTTTCTGATTTGCAAACTCAAGTCTCTTCGTTTGTCAAGATTGTCTGTATGCAAATGTTGACTAACACTGATGATCTCTTTTTTATAAAATCTATAGTTTTTGAAGGCAACTTATATTGCTTTTAGAAACTTTGGAAACAATATTGTAACAGACACAAATATTCAATAAATAATTATATTTGTGTGAATCTCACACAAATCTCAGACATATCCAGGTCATATTTCGCCACAAAATGTACAGAAAATTGTTTATACATATTAATAAATAAATAAATATTAATTAATTAATTAATTAATGGCGCGTTATACAATGTAGAAAACTAAATCATTTTATAATTATTAATAATTAAATAAATTCAATATAAATGTAAATGTAGTATAAATATTAAAATACATAAAATGAAATATTAAAATAAATTAATATAAAATAAAATATGAATATGAAATAAGAGATGAAAAATTGCAAAACATGACCCAAACAATCTGATCACATTACCATTCATAATTCAAATTCACAATATAATTTTCAATTTTGTCTCTTCGTTTGTCAAAACTGTCTGTATGCAAATGTTGTCTGACAGGTGATAATCTCTTTTTATCACTTAATTTGGTTATTTTTGAAGGTAATTATATCTGGCATATTTATTGATCTAGGCAGTGTAAAGACACGCCAGATTTGAACCTTTATGTCCTGCCAACTTGGAACGAGTGCACAAACTGCATGACTCCATGACTTGAATTATCAATTTTTAAATAAGTCTTGAGTTTTTATTGTTGGAATAATGTGCACTCATGCTTAATGAGATCACTAATGTGTATTAATAAGGTAAACAGGGGCAATTTAATTGATGAGATACACATTCACACACACCCATCAACATTTTTTTTCAACATCAGCATCGCGCAACTCATCTGTCTTTAATACGGTTTTCGTTATAGACTGGGTGGAACACAAGGACACTCTAGAACATGACAAACAGATCGACATTCATGAGAGCAGATAAATCAATCTGTCCTTTAAATACATAAAAACACTAGAACTACGCAGAAGGAGAGCTGAATAATGCAGAACTCCTGTGCCGCTGTGTTTATGTGTGTGTGAAGGGGCGTCACTCAATAAATCATGGCTTCATGCATGAAGGTGTCCTCCACTCAGGTGTGTAAATGACAGCGGGTCACACAGAGGTCTGACGAGACACATGGGCGCTCAGGGAGAGTGGAGAAACAGCTGCAACTTCCAAAAAACGGAAAGGGAGTGTGGAAAAAAAGCAAGTTTATGTTTTGTGCCACGAGTAAAACATTATTTTAAAGGAATATTTCACCCAAAAATGAAAAGTTGCTAAAAATGTACTTAAAACGTTAAAAAGTGTAAGTTAAAAAAGTCTTACTGATGGATTTGTTTCTAAGGAACACGCAGCTTTTTGCTTCGCAAGACGTTATCTGATAAACTGGACAGGTGTGGATTACTTGTGGATTATTGTGATGTTTTTATCAGCTGTTTGGACTCTCATTCTGACGGCACCCATTCACTGCAGAGCATCCACTGGTGAGCAAGTGATGCAATGCTACATTTCTCAAAATCTGATGAAGAAACAAACTCATCCACATCTTGGATGACCTGAGGGTGAGGACATTTTCATTTCTGAGTTCCATTAAACGTAGCTCACATCATGTGGGGATGATACTAATTTGTTTATAATTATTCTCAAAGTTATTAACAGTCCTACATTTAACTTCTTGGAACTTCATGGACAAATGTTTGAAAATATACTTGTGTGTAAATGACAGTGACACCTCATTGTTTGAGTCAGAGTTGACCTTCACAGGCTGTACGTGAGAGACCTGTCACATATCACAACAATAACACATGCGCACCTCCCTCTCACACTGAGACATACTTTATCACTTAGTATTTGCAAGACAGAGAAATCCACAACAAAACAAACACACAAACAGTTCTTCTCCGGTACTCACAGAAGCGGCACTTCGACGATGAGATGCACCAAATTACAGACCAGCTCCTCCAGAAGATCCTCACAGATGGAATCTGTAAACACACGTCAGCAATGTAAATACAGTCTATGAGAAGTTACTTTAGGTATGATGCTCATTCTGATTGGTCAGAGATGACGTGCATGCTCAGATGTGGCAGCACTGAGGATTGTGACACATCAAACAACTGAGAAGCTGTCAGGATTGACAGACAGACAGATGGACCAAACCCAGATATCAGAGTCTTTACCACACACAAATGCTCTAGTGCTGAAAAAGCTCTATTATTTTTGCCTTTTGGCCTTTATTATTGATAAGTACAATTTGAGAGAAGACACTGGAGGAGGAAAAACATAGGGACATAAACCCAGGCCCACATGTCTTACTTTGATGCTGAAACAGACTTTCAAAACACTAACTTTATCTTCTTTTGTCATTGGAAATGTGTGTCAGGGACTCAGGGTTATTATCATTAACTAAAACTATAATAAAAACTATTAAAAACATTTTAATTCATTACAATAAAGCTGAAAAATAAAATAGAAAAATTAGAAAACTAGCTTAAAATATACGAAAATTAGTACTACAAATAAATAAAAACTAAAACTGAACTAAAAATAAAACTTAATTAAACTTAAATTAAACCTAAATGAATAGCAATATTTTAAAAATACTAATAAAAACTACAAGAGAACAACAAAATTATTAAAAATTAAATTTAAATTAAAAACTGAAAATATAAAAATTCAAGTCAATTCCAAATATTAATTAAAACTGTAATATATAATATAAATAATATTAAAATGGCACTGATGTGTGTGAGCTTTCTTAATGGACATCAGATATTCCCACAAAATAATACAACCAGAAAAGCTGACATTGTGGGGACCCTGTGATCCTAATGAGGAAAACAGCTTCATAATGGACTAACAATATGTTACTTCATATATTAAAATGACAAAGTTAGAGTTAGCACTAGTCTGGGCTAATTATAACTAGCTTTCCCTAAGCTTTACCCCAAGCTATACTTATACACGGTCTCTGGAAGTTAGTTCATCTGACAAAACTTTCATCTTGGAACCTCTGCTAATATAAATGTATTATGTAACATGAGTAAACAATGAAGAATAGTATTTTTAATAACTAACATTAACAAAGATTAATAAATTCTGTAAAACATATCTATTACTCATTGTTAGCTCATGTAAAGTGTGACCAAAAAAACAACAGAAGTCTATAGATTCTCAATGTGTTTGTGTGTACCAGTTCAACTATATTTGTAAGGTCCAAATATAATGAAACATGTAAAAACTGACTTGTGAGGACAAAGGAATTAATATAGTGAAAGCAATTCATTTGAGTGTATGTGATACCGTAGGTTCCCGGCGCCCTCTCCTGGTAGGAGAACTGTAAGTGCAGCTCTTCTTCATTCTCCCTGATGAAGACCTTCAGCAAACAGCGCACCAGGAACAAAGCATTATGGGCCTGCCAGATGAACAACTGACTAGAGAGAGAAAGAGAGAGTCAGAGATAATTACTGATCTACAGCAGCCTGTGAACTGTGGCTGAACATCTTACAGACACACACACACACACACACACACACACACACACACACACACACCAAGACTTCACCCTGTGGTTCATGTTCAAAACACACACACGGCTTCACCCTGTCAGTGGTTTTGGATCATCCTTTACTAAACCAACACACATACAGACTGTCAGGCCGCTGTAGCAATCACACTTTGATTAACAGAGAAACAGCTCATATCTACAGCTATGAGCACTCAAAAATTAGAAATTTAGTGTTTATGTATTCAAATTTGAACATTTCCATCCACTTTGGTGACACATTTTAACAAACTATAAACTTAATTTAATGATCATTTGTCAGTCATATATAAATGCAACGGATAAGATTTTTGCACCAAAAAAAAAAAATCACTGCATGGTTTATTATAGTTTATTATTATCTATTTGCATCTATTTGATTTTATTTAAATAATCATATTTCCAAACTACATTAAAATTACTTAGAATAAGCATAAATCTGTTAATTGTGAAAACAATTACATTTATTCCAGTTAAAATGGCTAGCCAGGAATTTATTTATCATTTTAGGCCATATCAGGATCAAAAGCTATATTCATGGCTCCAAAAACCTCTAAAATAATAAGATTTAAAATAGTTTTAATAACAATACTTCAGTGAGTTGTATGAAATAATTAAACAATTTTTACATAAATAAATATTTGTTTTTGTCAAATTTATATTTAATAAAAAATAATAATATTTTCCCAGGAGAAACTTTTTTTAAATGTCTATTATTTTACATTGAGTAAAAAGATTTCCTAGTAACTTTTAAAGTAGGACACTCTAATAAATATGCTTTACAGTCAAGGAACACCTACAAATATCACATACAATAAATATACATGGGTACATCTTGTATGATCAATTCTACTGGCTTGCTGTAGAATGAGCAATATTCAATTATTTAAAATGTGAGATTGAAACAATTTGGATTTATTGATGACAAATATATAAATCTGGTTATTGTGTATTTAAAACACATTCAGTTTATTGCTATTATGACAGAAATCTTAGCCATTTCATTTATGTATGCATTGCATTAGGTTTATAAGTTTGTTAAAACTGTGCAATCCAAATGGTTGGAAATTTTATATGCAATTCAAATAGATAAATCTTAATTTTAGGCCTTAATATTTTTTTGGAGTGCATCAGCGGAGTCTGGATCAGAAGTGTGATGTCTGCACAGTTGAAATGAGAGCAGATCATATAAATATTCTCTCAGGCTGACGGTTCACATGTGTGCGCTGTAGGAGTGGTGGGTCACTCGCTGCTCTGGATTTATGCTACAGCAACACTTTGAGCACAAACATCAGCTCTGGCGGTGTGTGTGTGTGTGTATGACGCCATGGGCTGCACCGCTGCTATTCCCATGGGAAAATCATATCAGAAAACATCCTAACGGTATAGTGACTAATGAATGTCACGGACAGCCTGTGTGGGAAAAGATGCTTATAAAGAATATGTTTCTCAAAATCTCACAGACCTTCTGACCATCTGGAACCACAAACAAAGCCGCTTTCACACACAAAACCCATTATATTTACATAAAATTGTTAGATTCACTTTTATAGTGAATATATATTAAGATGCGACAAGTTGTATATGCACTGCTACCAGGGTGATTATTGTTAATTATAACTAAATCATAAAAAAAGTCACTTGAAATTAAATAAAATAAGTGTTAACTGGAATAAAATTAAATATGAAGAAAAAAAAAGTATTTTATTTCAGCTATTTACCAAAGAGGCGTTTCTTATTTGTATTTAGTTTAACCTGATGTACGAAAATAACTTATGTACTAAAACATATAAACATAAAAAAACGCTAATAAAAATAACAAAAACACCACAAAATGACAAAAAAAAATGTTTTACAATTAAAGTGAAAACAGAAAAAAAAAAAAAATTCAACAAATTCAAAATATTAACAGTATCTCAACGATACTAAAATAACACTGCTTACTACCGAAAGATCCAAAATCATACTACACAAACACTGATGTCGTTTGCTGAACATCACCTTTGACCAGCTGTGCTGGAAATATAGCAGGCAACTAGCAGTTTTAAAATATGGCAATATAATATTTAGGTGGAACTGAACAAAATGGGTATCATGTGCATATTTGTGAAAACATGGTGCAAAAACAATTTCATGTAGAACCAATAAATTAACACTTAACTTCTGGATCCAATTTAGAACAATGTGTATGGAAAAGTTACAAAAAAACACAGATCTGCTTAGTGCATAAAAATAGAATGCACAAATAAATAAAAATGGAATAAGCCAAAATTTTGAAATATAATAGTTTTAAAATATGGCAATATAATATTTAGGTGGAACTGAACAAAACGGGTATCATGTGCATATTTGTGAAAACGGTGCAAAAACAATTTCATGTAGAACCAATAAATTAACACTTAACTTCTGGATCCAATTTAGAACAATGTGTATGGAAAAGTTACAAAAAAACACAGATCTGCTTAGTGCATAAAAATAGAATGCACAAATAAATAAAAATGGAATAAGCCAAAATTTTGAAATATAATAGCATGGTTCTCAGAAGTAAAAGTTGTCATAATTGGGTAAACTTCTACAAAATATCACTTCTGTGTTCCCATTTGCCCCAACAGCAAATGAAAAACAGCCATGATAGCATTTCTACGACTTTCCAAAAGAGGAAAAAAAATATTGAGAGCTTGATTAAGGTGGAGAGGAAGAGAGAAAGATGTCAGCAGCTTTAACTAGTGTGCAGTAATTTAATGCCAAGATAATAAAACACAAAGCATAGTGTTATAAATGTACATTAATTTTTTTTTTTTCAAGAACATTTGTACTAGATTTACACTGTTAATAACTGTGGAAACACGTCATTCATGGAGAAAAGGGTCCATTAGAAATAGGGCTGCACGATAAATCGCATGCGATATTTAACGCACATCTTATCAGTAAACCCGGTTCTGTAATCAGCGGTAAATCTCCATCACCTGCGGGCTTTCAC